TCTTTTTAAATTACTGAATACATTTTTAATAAAAAACAAAAAAGTTTCCTTTTTCATATATATTTTCCATTAATTTCCAAGTTTAAATATAATGTATTAGGTTAGACTGTATCCCAGATTTTCAGGATGAACTAGTGAAACCCGCTGTGTTGTAAATCAATGTTGCAGAATAACAGACTCAAATTATCACAAATGCAAAAATGCATTCATGCGGATTCACAACAACACACACAACACTAACAGATTAAATAAAACATCTGAAAAAAAAGTGGACAGATGTGGCATATAAAAGCATTACAGGCACAAATGACTAAAAATGCAAATGCAGAAGAGAAAGCATATGCTCTCTCTCTCTCTCTCTCTCTCTCTCTCTCTCTCTCTCGATGTGTGTGTGTATCCCAAAGTACACGTGAGTGAATGTGTTGCATGAACCGGTCAGGCAGGTGCATCTGATGAGTGGTTTGACAACACAGTCCCTGTCTAAACTGTCCCAACTATATACAACATGCACATCTAATGCTTCCATGTGCCAGTGAGAGAGGCGTGTGTTCCCATTAAGCATGAAATTAGCAGTGTGGCTGCGCTCGTTAAGTATCCCAGTGCTCCTATGACTCCCCATTAACACTGGGTAAAGCACACGGAACGGATAAGCCAGCGCATCGCTTGCCTAGAGTTAGTAGGGTGGATGGACTCCAAATGATTATGGTGTCAAGGGGTAAAGTCACAGAATTAGAAACAAGTCCTAATATTCCTCATAATGGCTTATGCACGTACACTAGATGTTTTCTCTTTTGTCATTTCTGCATGCATATAATGTAAATCTAAAGATCTCCATCCACTCCACTGCTCTTGGGAAGAAAAAAAGAGTCATAAAACGAAGATAACAGTGCGTTTATGTATGTGTGGTTGGATGGAAAGGCATCGAGCATGGTAAAATGTTTCCACTAATTCAATTAGCCCCTTATCAAGCTCCTCAGTGGCTTACGAGAGGATGTGGCGTGTTTTAACAACCCTACACCAACACTAAAAAGAGCTCCTCTCCTTGTAACAGCCTGCAGATATGGCAAAAAATAGATCTAGAACAAAGAGATTGCTGACAGATGAGTTGTACATTCCCAATGCGTTTAAACAGGATCTATGTACATCTAAAATTAATGGGAGACATAAAAGTCACACAATTAAAAAGTTAGTAATTGTATTTTCCAAGTTCAAGTCAACTCGAGTCCACTTTAGAAGACATGGCCTACTTCAGGTCACACTACAGCATCATGGGAAAAATCATGGGTCATTAGGCAATTAATTCTGGTTGATTTATTAATTAAATAATAGAAAATCATAAACATAATACAAGAACACAGCCCTTAAGTCTAGCTTGATTGTGACTATAGCAGTGTTATTTTAGAATTATTTATATATAATTTACAACAATAAATTATATATACTTTTTAAAATTTCTGTTTTAATTTAATTTTACTTTACATTTTAGTAATTTTGTTGTGCTTTTTATTTGTTTTTAGTTTTTTAGAATTAGCATTAATTTTAATTCAATTTTAATTATTTTAGTATTTCAACTTCAACTTATTTCATTTGGTTGCAAAGGCAATATTTCAAATTTTTGGTCAAGTGTTTTAAATTTAAACTTTTTCATCTCATCCTTTTTTTTCAGCTTTATTTCAATAAAACAATGTTTAATAGTTTTCGTTTTAGTTTTAGTTAATAAAAACACTAGACTACAGACTTGTGATAAGCTTATGATCAATAATATGAAAGTCACTTTTGTCTGTTTAGTGATTTCATCCTCCAAAATAATGTAGTTTTTATGAATTCATATGAATTTCTTCATTTTGATATAAATACAGTACATGATAAATTGTGAATATTCTGAACAATTAATGTAATTTTTTTTAGAACTGGCAGTCCTTGTCTCAAACAGTCCGATATATCTGATATTCTGAGTTGGTCATTAAAATCTTGACTCAAGAGCCCTGAATTAGTCCAAATCCCTGGTGAAAAAGTATCACTTCCTCTGTTCACTTTTTAATTTTCCGTTAATATCAAGCGCAAAAACCCTGTAACAAGATCTTGACACATCTGTAGCCATAAACATCAAAGAAGCACCAATCAGGAAAACTGATCTGAGCTGCATGTTCTTGGAAATATCCTGCAGTGTGAGTTGGATGAATAGTGTCCCTCTTGATAAATATAATGGAACCTGTTCCATTAAAACAAAGGCTGTTCAAGACAGGGGTCATTGATTTACCACCAGCTTTCAGCAGTAATGGCTGCCCCTTTAAACACTCAGAGTGATGTACCGAGTTCCCAAAAACTGCTAAAACAGGTTTCCTTGGGACAGTGTGATTATGCATGCAGCTGTAAAAAGCTTGAGAACATTGTGTTAAATTTTAGGTAATATTTGTTTGCACAGTGTATTTAACACTGCAAGTGTCTGCAGTTATTGTCCTCTTCTGTTTTTCCTTTTCTCCAAGATGACAAAATAAATATACTTAACTCCCTGTTTTTCACTGTGTGGCATTTAAAAAAAAGTCCCTCTGACATTTCCTTCTCTTTCTGCACTTTTCTCCCTCAGTCTCATCTTTATTATTACCTTCTTTCTTATTGGCCAGAAAAAACTGTGTCTTTTGAAAAACAAATCTGCATCGCCATTATTTTCTCTCCCTTTCTTCCACCTCTCTCAAACACAGTCATCTTAATGAAGCACATTGCAGGTACTTAACGACCGCACAGACAGTGCACAGCACTGTGTATTCCATCACATCTGTTTCCAGCAGTTCAGACCTCCACTGACTTAACAGCAGGCTCAAGTCTGTTACACCTGCTACACAACTCTGACCTTGGCGGAAAAGAAAGAGAAAGAGACGAACATGTGGATGTACGTGTATGAATATTCATGTGAGAATGGAAGACGTTGAGGGGAAAAAGAGTAGACAATGTGGCTCTGTTCCAAACCCTAGTGAATCTACTGTCTACACAGGCAGTTACTTTTAAAGCATCCTATTAAAAATGCTCTGAAATGCTCTACATGCACAACTTATGGCAGGACACGATAAGTAACCGTCTTTGTGGGCGGTACAGTGTCTTGTATGATTGGTTCTCTAGTGACCATCATGGTTAAAGTCAATACAGGTCATATCTATGTGAATGGAGAAAGACTTCAATCTTCAGAACTGGAGATTTCAATGGCATACACTTCATTAACATTACATATCAGCAATAAAATCCAAAAATAACATTAACATCAATTTTACTGCATTTTCTCAAATCACTCGAAATAATGGTATTTTTCAGGGTGGTTTAATTCATGCACACACATGTTCTATAGAGACTTCATATACTGTATATACTACTGTACCATTCAAAAGTTTGGGGTCTGTAAGATCTTTTTATGTTTTTGAAAGGTCTCTTATGCTCACCAAGGCTAGTTATTTGATCAAAAATACAGTAAAATAATATTGTGATTACAAAATAAGTTATTGTTTTAATATTTATTCATATTAAATTAAATATATATATATATATATATTTTTTTTTTAACTGCTTTATATTGTAATATATTTTAAAAAAGGAATTAATATTTGTGATGGCAAAGCTGTATTTCAGCAGCCATTACTCCAGTCTTTGTTTCATTACTCCAGTCTTCTTTTTGTTTTACTATTTTCAGGACTCTTTGATTAATAGTTATAAAGACTTAATAAACTTATTTGAACTGGAATTTGTCATTTACAAAGCCTTTACTATCACTTTTGATCAGTTCAGTGCATTCCTTCTGAATAAAAGTAAGAAATTATTTTTAAAAATAAATAAATAAAAATCTTACTGACCCAAAACAAATATTATGTTAGAATAAATATTAACACTTTACAATAAGGACTCATTTGTTAACATTAGTTAAAGGAATAGTTCACCCAAAAATGAAAATTCTGTCATTAATTACTCACCCTCATGTCGTTCTAAACCCGTAAGACCTTCAGTCATCTTCGGAACACAAATTAAGATATTTTTGATTAAATTAGAGAGCTTTCTGACCCTGCATAGACAGCAATGCAACTGACACGTTCAAGGCCCAGAAGGGCAGTAAGGAATCATTAAAATAGTCCAGTGGTTCAACCGTAATTTTATGAAGCTACAAGAATACTTTTTGTACATTAAGAAAACAAAAATAATTACTTTATTCAACAATTTCTTCTCTTTCGTGTCAGTCTTCAATGTGCGTTCATGACAGAAAACTCTCGGATTTCATCAAAAATATCTTAATTTGTGTTCTGAAGATGAATGAAGGTCTTACAGGTTTGGAATGACATGAGGGTGAGTAATTAATGACAGAATTTTCATTTCAAAATACATGTCTTGCACCATTTTGCGCCTGTACTGTTACTAGATTACCAGATTGACATTGACCCTATGCTAATTATCACTACTCTTGATAGATTGCGTTGGTCATTATGGTAATGCACTGGCTGTGTCTGTGTTCTTGTCAGTAGATCATTTGCAGAACTTTCCACTCCCATCTGCTCTTTTATGGAATATCGGTCTCAAACTAAATTGCCTTGTTTAGTAAATCTGTCAGAAAGCTCTCGTATTTCATTAAAATTATTTTAATTTGTTTTCTGAAGATGAACGAAGGTCTTACAGGTTTGGAATGACATGAGGGTGAGCAATTTATGACAGAATTTTCATTTTTGGGTGAAATATCCCTTTAACAAATACAGTTTATTATAAATATTAGTAAAAGTTTAAATTTACATTAAGATTAATAAAAGCTGTATAACTGTTGTTCATAATTAATTTTAAATATTTAACTAATGCAGTCTTATTGTAAAGTGTAAAGTAAATTTACAAGCAATTACATTCTCCTACAAGAAACGTTGGGCATGTGTAGAATCTGGCCAAAGTTTCTTATAGGAGAGCATAATTTGTCCTCATCTTAACCGTTGTACCTCAAATGTCTTTAAATGTCTATGTAGCAGTTGCGTTTGTCATACCTTGGCTGCCATGATCATGGAAGAGCCTCCACGGATGCCCAGGATGGGGATGTGCGTCTGAGCTGAGATGAAGTCCAATATCTGGGCGATGGCCTCCTGATCGGTATCGTCCCCAAACACCACACCCTGGAGCCAGTTCCGCGACATCAAAGCACAGATGCGGTTTATGATACTCTTGGGGTCGGTTTCGTTCATCGTGACCAGTTCGACTTTCGGAGGGAGAGGCACGTGGAGGAAGTCCTCTTTCTCCAGACCTTCAGAGAGGGACCCCTCGCTGGAGTTTCCCACAAGGATCACTGCGATGCTGAGGCCTTGAGCAAACTTTGGTGGCAATGGAGGACCCACTGGATTAACTCCTGGTGGCGGATAATGAGGAGGGCTGATTATCGACTGGCCGCGCTCGCCGCCGCTCATGCCCCCAATGGGCGTCCCGATCCCGCCTCCACGGCGAGACTCGCAGGTGGGGAAGAAGAAGAGAGAGAGGAGAAGGAGAGAGAGGGAGAGGGGCGGTTTGGAGGAAGAAGCCAGGGAGACAAAAGACAGGACGCGACGGTCGGAGAAAGGGGAAGAGGAGAGGTGGAGGCTGACAAGCATGGCGGAGGAGTGAAGATACAGTCCCTGCAGACAGAGAAAGAGAGGAGAGAGAGAGGGAGAGCACTTCAGTTTGGGAGCTGAATTCACAAAATCCACACGATTTGAACTTGACTGGTGAAAGTTGAGTAGCAGTTCGCAAGTAAAACCAACGAGAGACCTGTGGTTTTAAAAAAAGCACGTGTCCTCATATCAAGGGTTTGTCCTCTTCATTATTGACATATGTTAGACAGAAATCACAGAAACATAGGCAGTCTTGGGAAATGAGGTCATTTGCAGCAGTCACACATACTGCACACTGATAACACACACACAGGTTTTTCTAACTAAGGACATATAAATCACTTTTAATATTTATATATAAAGCTAATTAAAATTAGTAGGACAAACCCCAAATCAAATTTTTAGATTAATAAAAATATAGTTAAATTATTTGTACCCTCAAAGGGGTCATGAACTGTGAAACCAAAATTCCCTTGATCTTTTGACATATAAGAGGTCACTGTACTAATAAAACATCCTGCAAGTTTCAGAACTCAAAACTTTGTCATTAGTCTAAAAACAGCTTCTATTGAAGCCAATTGACATGAGGGTGAGTAATTAATGACAGAATTTTCATTTCAAAATACATGTCTTGCACCATTTTGCGCCTGTACTGTTACTAGATTACCAGATTGACATTGACCCTATGCTAATTATCACTACTCTTGATAGATTGCGTTGGTCATTATGGTAATGCACTGGCTGTGTCTGTGTTCTTGTCAGTAGATCATTTGCAGAACTTTCCACTCCCATCTGCTCTTTTATGGAATATCGGTCTCAAACTAAATTGCCTTGTTTAGTAAATCTGTCAGAAAGCTCTCGTATTTCATTAAAATTATTTTAATTTGTTTTCTGAAGATGAACGAAGGTCTTACAGGTTTGGAATGACATGAGGGTGAGCAATTTATGACAGAATTTTCATTTTTGGGTGAAATATCCCTTTAACAAATACAGTTTATTATAAATATTAGTAAAAGTTTAAATTTACATTAAGATTAATAAAAGCTGTATAACTGTTGTTCATAATTAATTTTAAATATTTAACTAATGCAGTCTTATTGTAAAGTGTAAAGTAAATTTACAAGCAATTACATTCTCCTACAAGAAACGTTGGGCATGTGTAGAATCTGGCCAAAGTTTCTTATAGGAGAGCATAATTTGTCCTCATCTTAACCGTTGTACCTCAAATGTCTTTAAATGTCTATGTAGCAGTTGCGTTTGTCATACCTTGGCTGCCATGATCATGGAAGAGCCTCCACGGATGCCCAGGATGGGGATGTGCGTCTGAGCTGAGATGAAGTCCAATATCTGGGCGATGGCCTCCTGATCGGTATCGTCCCCAAACACCACACCCTGGAGCCAGTTCCGCGACATCAAAGCACAGATGCGGTTTATGATACTCTTGGGGTCGGTTTCGTTCATCGTGACCAGTTCGACTTTCGGAGGGAGAGGCACGTGGAGGAAGTCCTCTTTCTCCAGACCTTCAGAGAGGGACACCTCACTGGAGTTTCCCACAAGGATCACTGCGATGCTGAGGCCTTGAGCAAACTTTGGTGGCAATGGAGGACCCACTGGATTAACTCCTGGTGGCGGATAATGAGGAGGGCTGATTATCGACTGGCCGCGCTCGCCGCCGCTCATGCCCCCAATGGGCGTCCCGATCCCGCCTCCACGGCGAGACTCGCAGGTGGGGAAGAAGAAGAGAGAGAGGAGAAGGAGAGAGAGGGAGAGGGGCGGTTTGGAGGAAGAAGCCAGGGAGACAAAAGACAGGACGCGACGGTCGGAGAAAGGGGAAGAGGAGAGGTGGAGGCTGACAAGCATGGCGGAGGAGTGAAGATACAGTCCCTGCAGACAGAGAAAGAGAGGAGAGAGAGAGGGAGAGCACTTCAGTTTGGGAGCTGAATTCACAAAATCCACACGATTTGAACTTGACTGGTGAAAGTTGAGTAGCAGTTCGCAAGTAAAACCAACGAGAGACCTGTGGTTTTAAAAAAAGCACGTGTCCTCATATCAAGGGTTTGTCCTCTTCATTATTGACATATGTTAGACAGAAATCACAGAAACATAGGCAGTCTTGGGAAATGAGGTCATTTGCAGCAGTCACACACACTGCACACTGATAACACACACACAGGTTTTTCTAACTAAGGACATATAAATCACTTTTAATATTTATATATAAAGCTAATTAAAATTAGTAGGACAAACCCCAAATCAAATTTTTAGATTAATAAAAATATAGTTAAATTATTTGTACCCTCAAAGGGGTCATGAACTGTGAAACCAAAATTCCCTTGATCTTTTGACATATAAGAGGTCACTGTACTAATAAAACATCCTGCAAGTTTCAGAACTCAAAACTTTGTCATTAGTCTAAAAACAGCTTCTATTGAAGCCAATCTGCCAAAACGACAGCTTGTGGACTGTGCCACTCTGTAATGTAATAGTGTGGATAAGCACCGCCTACACAGAAAAAGATCAACGCCTGCTTCTACAGCGCTGCCTGTTTAGCCCCGCCTACCCATTTGCTCATGAAGTGTGAATAACAAGAGGGGCGAATGCAGGTCTACGCAGAAACCAAACAATAAAGATGGCTCTGAAGACAACAAGACGCTGTGCAGTGCCAAGTTGTGGAAAATGCATTGCATTGTCTTTGTGTTGCCTTCTTTCTGATTCCAACGCTAGGAAAGAGTTGATGAACTTTATTTTTTGAATAAAGTTCCAGACAACGTCAGTAAGAACTTGGTCCTTTGTTCACTTCATTTCACCACAGATTTGTTTACAAATAAGGCACAATTCGATACAGGATTTTCAGAAAAGTTTTAACTAAAAGACGACGCTGTGCTGGCTATATTGGATCCAACAGTAATGTTGCACCACACAAGTGTGAGTAACTGTTTTTATTACATGGTCACTATTGCTTTGTCTGTTATTACAGATCGTTTGATATGAGTATTTATGTGTTTTTAACCTAAATCACTGCAGCGTCTCTCTGTGAAGGTTGTATGCTGTCAAACATACACAACTATAAGCCAATCATAGCAGTGGGTGTTTACTTCCGACTCTACAATCCTCCACGCCTATTCAAACAGTGCGTTCAGTTGAGGGGGGTCAAAAATCTTGATAACATATAAGTGGACCTCAGAGAACAGTACAAAATAAAAAACAAAGGCAGTTCATGACCCCTTTAAATACCATCCCTAGAGATCCTAAAAGGATGTTTTGTCTGATAACAATTTGGTCCTCAAACTATTGCACACTTTTTTAATGCAGGAGACTGCATTCTGGGTTTTCTTTATCCACTAAAAAACACATGTGTTGTGTTTTAGAATCTGGCCAAAATTTCTCATAGGAAAGCATAATTCATCCTCATCTTAACAATCTTTGTACCAAAAATGTCCTAAAATGCTTAGTTAGCAGTTGCGTCTGTCATACCTTGGCGGCCATAATTATGGATGACATCCCAAATGGAGATTTTGTCATACAGGTATTTAGCTAAATTCTGATAACATTTGGTCCTCAAACTGTTTTTTTTT